TTAGCGGATGGCTTGAGTGAGCAAACGAGATGTCCGTTTGAGGTGAGCGGACAGCTAGCTCACTGAGAACATGGTGGATACAATTTTCGTGACTATAAGATCATAGCTTTTGCGCTAAGGATGCTAGTTGCTGCACTACGGATGAAAGCCATTGCGTTAAGGATGCAATCAATTGCGAAATGGTATAGAATGCCGTTCACATAATGCTGTATAACTGCTTCACCAATGCTGGCCGCAACTTTTCATGCAATTAAGTCCAAGAAAATATCTGCCAAAAATGGCCCCATGGGGACGTCGTCGGTCTGCTTGTACGCTGCCTCTTCTAATTCAACTCGCACGTTCTCAGTGCACAACAACGTCGAATCCCCTAGGAATTTCAAAAGCCGGTCCACATATGCACCAATGCTGACGAACAGTTGACCCACCTCTTCTACACCACAATCTACATTGTCGAGGTCGGTAATTGCAGTGCACGCCGAACTCAGTACAGACACCTAGTTATTTGCCGCCAAGGCGGACACACTCTCGGTGTTGGAGGTTAGGAGCTGTCTGTCCACTTCCTTTATCACAGATATGTCACCTGTCTGCTTTAGGCACCGCTTTACGTACGCACAGATTTTCTTCTGGCAGTTGCATCGGTTGCAAGCTATTGTTCGAATTGTTTGCGCTTGCTCGTTTTCTCATCGTTGCAAATGCTTAGCTGCTTTTTATACATCTCGTAGTCGTCCACCGAACCAAAGATAGGGAATTCGTCCCACTGTCCGCGCCTCCGTCTTGCCAGCCTACCATATTCCTTATCGAACCAATGTGGCCTGACCGGTCCGACCTTCCGACACTTGAGAGGCACATCTTGGTTACACAAGTAGTTTTCTCCATTCCAGAAAGCTTCAGCATATGGAAATTGCAGCAGAGACCAATCCACTTGGCTCGCGGATCGAGTCAGGCCATCGATAGTTCAACCCAGCTGAATTGAAGTTTGGCGCTTCATGCGTATTCCAGGCTGCGCTATATAGATTGCTTAAGCCTGTGTCGCATATCGCGTCCCATACACACGCTGTGCGCTCCTATCCTCCAACACTGACGTCGGATATTTTATACCACTTTCATTAGCAAGAATCATGGCCAAAAATTAGTGCAGGATTAAGCATACTTTTCGGGTAAACTCGAGCATTTACCATGCACTGCATTTGTGTCAAATCGGGCTGGGAATTGATTTCTTAGTTATTTGTGCAATCAAATCGAACAGAAGGAATATATTTCTTCACAGGTCTGTAAACAGACGGATGCGCCATCCGAACCATGGTCATACGGAAAGGAGAAGATAATATTCCACGAGGAGAGAGAGTACAACGTTAGAAAAATGATTTTTTCAGTTTCACGCACGCAATTTTTAGTTTTCTATTGTTTTCATCTTTTGTTCATAATTAAAGATTACATGATGAAGAGATGGTAGAACAGCATTGGCGCCATTGACTCCTATTGCGGGCCATGTCCTCCAAGACTTCCAACCACTGGGAATTCGCTTCACATGGTCCTCATTCCTGGGACTCGCACGGATCCAACTGACTCTAGACACGAAGTTAGAATCTTCGTGCTCCCTTTACAGGTCATCGGTTATCCACCGCGGCTCTTTTTCCATTCACGTTCAGGAAATGCAAATAATGCGCGACGTGGGAGGAGGTGCGGCGGCGTGTACAGTACGTGATCAAACCAACGCAAGCGGTGCTTTATGCTTATATATATTTTGCAGCAGTCTATGAATAGACATTGAGCCATCGGAAACCATGGAACTCAAAACAAGGTACAGAAATAGTAAACGAAAACACAACACAACACATCAAAATCCATGGTTTCGTCATGCTTATGCTCTGAAGACTGTCTGTTCCAATGATTCTGCTTCTAACTTCCACGTTGCTCACAAGGTGCTGCCACCACACGCGCGCGATCAAACGCAAGCAGCGGTTGTCGAAAGTAGACAGTCGTCTCAAATGTTCCGATCGAACAGGCCAGGTCTCGCATCCGTACCGTAGGACAGCACGAACTGTGGCATTGTACACTCGGCCTTTGAGCTTGAGACTGACATCGGAACGACGCCACAAGTGTCTCAGGTTAGTGAATGCAGGGCGAATTTCGACAATTCGTGAAGTTTCATCGCCAATACCGCTACCGACCGTGATACCACTCTCGAGGTAAGTAAAGCTGTTAACCAGCTCTAGGCTGACACCCGAAATGGTGAGCGTAGCCACAGGCGCCTGTTAATCCTGGAGCAAAGCTTTACACTTGAATGGAGCAAAATACAGACCATACTTAGATGCCTCTATCGCTAAGTGGTTCAGAATGTTTTGAATAGCCTGCGAGTCGTTCCCCAGTAAAGCAATGTCATCAGCATAATCCAGTTCCACGACTCTGCTCCCGGATAGAAACAACGCCGCAGCTCTGGGCTTTTTCCAGTGCGCAATATAGGACATCTTCGGTGGCAAAGTTGAACAGGAATGGCAAGATAGGATAATCTTGGCGCACTCCACTGGTAACGGGAAACGAAAAAGTAAGCCTTGCATAAGCTCTAACTTTTCCAGTGGTGTGACTATACAGATATTTACATTGTATAGTTTGTATAGATGGTGGGTAGGGGGTTTGGAAGAAAGGTGGTGTAAGTTTGATTGGGAAGTTGTAATTGTAAGAAGGGGTTGATGAATAATTGAGTGTAGGGGTTAATTTTGAGGGGGGGGGGGGATAGGGGGGGGGGTGTAGGGGAATTGGTGGGGGGGGGGGTGGGATATATATTTGATGGGTGTATTTGGGTGGTTGGTTAGTGAAGTTGGGGGGGGGATTGGGAGAATTGGGGTGGGGTGGGGTTGGTTATAGGGGTGGGGTGTTGAGGGGGATATTTTTGGGGTTTGTAGATGGGGGGGGTTGGGGGTGTGTGTTTTATTTTGATATAGGTTGGGTGGGGGTTTTGTTGGGGTTGGGGGTTTTGGGGGGTTGTGGGGTTTTGTGGGGGTGGGGGATTTTGGTTTGTGGGGGTGGGTGGGGGGGTTTTGGGGGGGGGGTGTTTTGGGTGTTGGGGTGGTGGGGTTGGGTGGTGGGTTGTTTTATGTGGGGGTGGGGGGGGGGGGGTGGGGGGATTGGGGAGGGGGAGGGGAGAGTAGGGGGGGGGGGGGGTAGGGGGGGGAATATGTGGGAGGGTATTGGATTTGGCGATGGGGTTTGAAAAATGTTTTTGGTAAGTGGAATAGGGGATTGTGGGGGGGGGGGGGGGGGGGGGGGGTTAGGGGGAGGGGGGGGGGGGAAGGGGATAGGTTAATGGGGGGGGGGGGGGGGGGGGGGGGGGTTATAGGGGGGGGAGGGGGCGGGGGGGGGGGGGGTGGGGTAGGGCGGGAGAGGAGTGGGGGGGGGGGGGGGGGGGGAGGGGTAGGGGTGGGGGGGGGGGAGGGTTGGGGTGGGGGGGGGAGGGGTGGAATTATGAATTGGGGGAAAGAGGGGGGGGGTGTAGGATGAGGGGAGGGGGGAGAAAGGGGGGGGGTGGGGTGGTGGGACGAGGGGAGAGGGGGGGGGGATGGGGGGGGGGGAGTGGGGGGTTTGTATATGTAGAGTTAGGGGGGTGGAAGGGGATGAGGGTGTAAGGTAGAAAGGGTAGGTGGAGGGTCAATGAAACTGGGCAGGAAGTGGGAACTGCTGATGCAGCGCTGTCGGTGCTCATGAGAAAATGATGTCTAGCTTAGTAAATACATGTCATGATTACATTAGGACCGAATAGGCCCCTAATAGTATTCTTACAAGGGAACAAGTGCAGTCACTTTGAGAGTTGTGGCTAAACAAAAGTTTATCATCTCCAAACTAGACTAATTGATAAGGCTGATTACGTCAGTAAGGTACTACATATTCTTAGTGACGAACCCAAGTTCCAAAAGCTGATATCAGCGATGGTTACTACAGCATAGACAGGCATTTAACTGGTTTGTTCAGACGCATGATGCAAGCGAATGTTATTTTTTTTAAAAATGCGATTTTCAAAATCTGAGGTTTTCAGGCGGATATCTAAGACACTCCACTGCATCAGACTTGGGACACGGTTACTTCTTCTCAACAGCTCAATGTTTGGTCGAGAAGTTAGAAGCTTTGCGAACAACAATCTGCATCTACTATGTGAAAGATACTTTGTGTTTCTTGGGAAGATAAAGAAACTAAATGTTATCAACAAGTGGATGCCATCACTTAACCCACAGTCAATGTTTACGAATGTTCCGTTATTACAAATAGTGGAGTACCTTTGTGAACTAGTACCACAACAGCACCTATAAATTTCCCGGATAATCTGAAAGAAGTGTTAGTTAGATGCATCTTCAACGTGTGTTTAATCTTAAGAAAGCAAATATATTGTCTAACTGATGAAGTTACCATGGTGTCGCTGTCGGGACACCTGCTGGTAGGTGTATTTATGACGAAATTGAAGCCAACTAAGATCGCACATCAATGAAGTTGCCATGTATATACGTTATGTTGATGACACGTTTATGTTCTGCGAATCGACAGCGTAGTTGCTATCATCCTTGTTGGCACCTCCTTTATGGCTGTTTTTCCATTTACCGCTTGTGCAGGCGGACATGCTCGCTTTGGAACGCGAGTTGGCGGAAGCCGATGATGAGGCGGAGAACCAACTAGCCCTTGCATTTGCCAGCGCGCACCCGGAATCCGCTTCGCTTCTTTCCGGTGGGACCACTCCAGTCCCCGGTGGTGTCGGTGGAGCAGCTGACGTCTCAGAACAGGTTACCGTAGAATCCTTGGAAGAGCGTCGATTGGAGAAACGATCCAAAGTCCTGTTGCGTATGCTGCGCGCACACCAGCAACAATTCGGCTGGGATGGACCGCTTTCATTACAGTCTATTTGTGCTGGCAATACCAAAAAACAGGTTTGTTCTTCTTGCAAGGCTGTTGCCTTTTTAGTGTTCTAATTGTGCCATCGACTGATCGAAACTTATTCACTAAACATCCCTGTGATTTTTTCGTGGGTAGTTTTTTATGTCTTATACTCAGAATTAACCACGCTGACCTCAGTTATCAACTGAATTACTCCTATTACTACATACGCAATTTTTCCTCGTTCGAATAGACTTTTTCGTACCACTTGCGTTGTTTCCCTTGTAACCCTGTAGGTGATCACGCAAAGAAATTTAGAATCTGATCACTTTTACGCACCATTCTGGTTTACTCGCAGGACACCTAGACCTTCATCCTAAATGGGAACTGCTAATCACCAGACTCCGGTTGTTTCTTCCTTTCATGTTTCATCTAGCATCCACTATTTCCCTACTCCGGTATACGGTTAAGTATCGACGATATGTGCATGTACTCCTCTGTGTTAGTGTTTCCCCGTTGTGCAACCGTGAGTGGTCACACGCTGGTTGGAATTTCGAAAAAGTGCTCGAACCTGGGGCGCAGAGCTTACTTGCTAAGTGCCCTAACCACAACTGCTCCGGTCATTCCTACTCAATGAGCAACGCAATCGTGACTATATTCTTGTGATATACATGTTTCCTTCTAAACCACATGAATTTCCGACAATCCACCCTAATTATTATGATTTCCACACATGAAGGAGGTAGGTTAAGGGTCTTTGTGGTTTTACTCGGTTACCAACTGGTGCCGCAATTAACTGACGTCTGGATCACATTCCTGTATATCACATTCTCTCTACATTGCTCTCCCCTTAACTGTGTGATGTAGCCTACTGAATAATCTGCCTGAACTTGTCCAGGATTCCATAAATCCACTAATACTATTCTGTTTCTCGTTTCTACCTTTCTATCGATGTCGGGCAAGTCCAGTAGAATCAAACCACTTTTAGGGAGCACACAGTGCCGAAAGGGGTTGCGCTCTGTCACCGAAGTTTCCCATCTGACTTTCTATTCTATCTGTTTGCTCTACAAATTCTACACCTTATAACTATTTGCCACGTCTTTAAATTTTCATCTATCAATCATTTCATCTGCCTTTATTTCAGGCCGCTTCAAAGTTCTACACCATTCTGTTATTGCGTAAACAAGGCGCAGTTGACCTAAAGCAAGAAGCTGCCTATTCGGACATTCTCATTTCCAGGGGACCAAATTTCAATCGCCTCCTAGATGTCTAGCACGTGTGCACACACACACATGTGTGCTACACTCGTATCTGATTACTCTTTGAAGTTTTTACTCTCTTCTCTCCGTCTCTTTTTTTATCTTCGGTGTATTTTCTCGCGACCGTGTACTTACATGTCAACCTTATTGCCTGTATGTGTATTCACAATCTTTTCTTTATTTGGACTTTTCTACTCTAGGACCTGGTGCTGGCTTTTTTTTGAACGCGCTTTAGACAGATCCCCTTTCTATTTCTAAATATTTAGTAATTTTTTTATAAATATGAATGTCAATTTGTATAAAAGTATATCACTAACCGTCCTCAGTGTGATACCACTCTTCTTTCCCTCCTTTTCCTCTGCGCTCATCAAACATTCTATCCTTGGTAATCAAGCGTTGCTGCACCCTTCGTCACATTCAGTTTCGTAGCTGACACAGCAGACAAGAGATGCAATTCGCTATGGGTCTGCTCACGTTGCTGTCGGCAACGCGTGGTAGACAAATCGAGTCTCGCGGGAATCATCTCATTGCAAATGCAATTTTTGATTAATGGTAAACGATAGCAACCTCCACCATTTTAAAAATGCATAAGATAACAACCTTTCAACACCACAAACTGAAATCAGCTTATTTGTTGTATTCTCATTCAACTCCAAACATGGTTGGCGGCGTCCGTATCCGGATTTGCCTGTCACTGCGGCCTCCATGAGACAGCCACAGGACGTGTGCGCCTACAAAGGGACCATAGGTGGCTTGCGCTGCCCCACCCACATTTCCATCCACACACCGCATACCCAGTGTAAACCCGAAGGAATAAGACCGGGAGGCATGTGGATGGGAGCCACATTTTATCAATAGAGCCGCCCCCCACTCCTTCAACATGCACAGCAGTAGAAACATTCCTGGCTAAGTGGAGAATCAGACCTACACGAGGCTGTGCCTGCGTCATGGTCCGCTCCACACTGGACGGAACCACTCGTCGAGCCTAGCACGGCCACGAGGACCGTCCACCCTTCCCCTCCCCAAGCAACGATTCACAGTCTCCTGGAGTCAGTAATCAAGGTGGAGCGTGTTAAACTGGTAGGCACCTTGTCAACATTCACAACAAGCGCAGCCACACCGGGGACATCAAACGACCAAAACCGAGTTTGATGGAAAATAAACAGGCAAAATGACACGGAATATGCAGCAGTATAACAACTGAGCAAATCAAATAAACAGAAATACATTTTATCCAGGTTAAGAAGATCGGGTTTTAGTCTAATTCGGTGTAGCGCCACTGCGATGAAGAAGCATGATGTATGCAACATCAACCGTATCCACACTATTTGGGAAAAGCTAAAGTGAACGTGAATGACAGGTTGTCAATACCAGGAGTCCACAGTTAACTGTCCCAGTGTATTTCTAAGACAAATCATGTACTCTACTAAGACAGAGCTAAGCTGACCATGAAGTCAAGCTGCTTGCACAGATTGAGCTTCAGACGCCGGGTGGCAGTGGCTTCATCTAACCGGAGCTGGTTCAGACTGTTTTGTCTGCCAATGAGCTTGAATGCATCACGCGGGTTTTGATATATCGTGCGGGTGCTAGTCAACTGATCTAGCAGGCAAATTAGCACTAGTCACACTTATATTCCGTGTGATATACTCCCAAATCTGAGTCGGCAGCTTTCTGTTAGTCAGGAGGCTGTGCATGCTACCGCATCTCCAGTTAAACTGGTAACCGCAAAAGTTGTTAAACTTGAAAATGTGGTATGTCTCGATTGGTATTCACGCAGTAACTTTCTTGTTTGCTGCAGTAGCACGACCTCAGCTGCAAAGTAACATCTCCTTTGAATTGGCGTAAGCGATGATCGATAAAACTGAAGGCCGACCAAACCATCGTAATCCTGCCTGCGGACAAGGGACGTACGACGGTCATAATGGAAAAGACTGATTATATTGTAAAGGCAAGTCATCTAGCCTATCGACGCATGGTGAACGATCCAACAGTACTGTTGACAACTAAAGTGAATAAGGCAATCAAGAGACTTCAAGAATTAAATCAACTTACGAAGGGAGAGTATGATAGAATGAAGGCTCGTGATCCAAACATCGCACAGTTTTACGGACTTCCTAAAGTACACAAAGAGGGTACGCCGCTATGGCCAGTAGTATCACTCCCAGGCCCACCAACTTACAACCTGGCTGGAGAATTATGAAAAGGCCTCAAACATCTGACCAGCGGATCGCAATACTCGATAAATAATGCTCAACAGTTTTTGGAAAAGCTCAAATGCATGCGGATAGACCATGAAGAAGTGATGGTACCCTTTGACCTCACCGCACTTTTCACTTCCATCAACTTACAGATAGCGAAAGAAAATATCAGAGAACGTCTGAACAGTAGAGGACAAACGACTGGGAAGCTAACAACTGAAAGCATATGCAAGCTCCTCGAATTATGTCTTACTACCTACTTCAAATTCAACGGAGTGTTTTACGAGCATGTTAGTGGAGCTCCAATGGGATCCCTTATATCTTGACTTATTGCGGAAGTCGTCATGCAGAGGTTGGAAGAGGATATACTCCCAGTCATTAGTCCGAAATTATGGGTGCGATACGTTTGTGCTTCTCAAACGCAACCAGCTACAGACCGCACAAGACCTACTTAATGCAATGGAAGACATTCGTTTCACCATGGAAGACGAGGTGGAAAACCAACTACCCTTTTTGGACGTGCTGGTTACCAGAACAGTGGAAGGCGAATTACAAACATCAGTTTACAGAAAAGCGACCCACACCGACCAAATCCTGAACTTCAACAGCAGTCACCCTAAGTGTCACAAAATAAGCTGTATACGGACCCTGTTTCGTTGAATAGAATCGCATTACAATACTGCGGAGGCAAAACGAAAGGAAGAAGAACATCTGTTTATGAGTTTCATTCGCAGCGGCTACCGACGCAGTTTCATCCGAAGACACCTAACCCGAAGGAGTACAACTACCGCACCTGCACCAACAACGGCGAAACGCATCGCCTTGCCGTACATCGATACGGTATCGCAAAAGACAGCTTGACTCAAGCCGCACAACATGATGATAGCTCACTCTGAAAAGGATCTTATCTTGACCTAAAGAAAAACTCATCATCATCATTATACATGTCAGCTAGAGATGGTAAAACACCTCCGCTATTGTACCGCAATACATAAAGCAAATACATACATACATACAATACATAAAGGAAAAATAAATACGACAGTTGAATGCCAGCTGAGCTACCAGCAACGGATACACATCGTTCCCGTATGCTACTAGCCGGCTACTAGGCAAAAACAAAAATTTAATTACGTTTTACCCTACGAAATAAGATTGTAGATGGAGGGGGAGGCTAAAGGGATGGGGAGGGACAAAGAAACTCACAGCAGGAACGCCACTGAGGTCGGCTCCTTGCCATATCAGCAAGTGTATCCAGCCAAACGTGTTCACCGTCTTTTGGACCCCAACCAGGGAGCCGTGAAGCTCCAACTGAGGCCAGCTCCGAAGTGAGGGGCTTCATTCCTCTGGACCAAGTCATCGCTTGGCCATCTCTCCTCTTCTTCCACCCACATCCCCGGTGAGCAAACAACGCACGTCGAGGGAGTCGGTGGGCTGGCATGTGCAACACGTGGCCCAGCCATCGGAGCCTGGTGAGTGAAATGACGGTGCTGAGCGGTTCATTCCCTTTTCCTAGGCCGTAAACAAGGCGTCGAACACGCTCGTTACTCACGCGGTGTTCCCACCAGATTGTGAGCCAAACTGCGAAGGCACCGATGGTCGAACGTAAGTAGCCTCTTCATGTCCGCCGATCTTAGGGGCCAGGTTTCGCAACCGTACAGTAAGGTCGAACGTACCGCTGCATTGTACACTCTACCCTTCAGGGCGAGAGTAATGTCGCGCCGTCGCCATAAGTGGCAAAGGTTAGCAAAAGCACTTCGAGCTTTCGCTATGCGGTTCGTGATCTCGTCTTCGATCCCAAGGGCACTGATACAACTTCCCAGGTAATTGAATTTCTGAACGACTTCTAGCTGATCCCCACCAACAGTCAGCACAGGGGGCGAACCCTGCCAATCCTGGAGGAACGCTTTGCACTTCGGTGGTGCAAAGCAAAGCCCGAAGCGACTGACAGCCAGTGCTAATCTGTCCAGCGCGGCTTGACACGTCTGAGAGCTGTCACAGATGAGGGCAATGTCGTCTGCATACTCTAAGTCAAGAAGTCGTTCTCCTGGGAGTAGCTCCACACCTTCCAAGTCATGTCCTGTAAATGCAATCTCCATGACTTCGTCAATAGCGAAGTTGAATAGGAAAGGTGACAGCGGGCATCCTTGTCTCACGCCGCTGGAGATATTGAAGGGTGGCGACAGCCTGCTGTAAGCCCTTACTCTGCCCGTGCTACGCGCATATAATGCTTTTAGAATATTTACATATTTCTCGGGTACACCTTTCCTGAGTAGACAATTCCAGAGGGCACATCGATCAACCGAATCGAAGGCACCTTTGATGTCGAGGAACACGACTACGGTGGGCCGCCAATATGTGTGACGGTGCTCCAACAACTGACGCAAGGTGAAGATGTGGTCGATGCAGCCACAACCCCGACGAAACCCGGCTTGCTCCTCACGAATCTGGCTTTCACGAGCGCCAGTCAGTCTGTGGAGAATTATGGACGCGAGTAATTTGGAGGCGATGGAGATCAGACTGATTCCTCTATGGTTGCCGCATTCCGAGCGCGAGCCGCCTTTGAAGATGGGAACAATAACGGAGCGGCTCCAATCGGTTGGGACAGTTTCCTGCTCCCACAGTTTCACTAGTAATCCATGCAAAGCATCAACAAGAGCAGAGCCTCCAAATTTGAAGAGGGCTGGAGGAAGATCATCTGGTCCCGCGGCTTTGTTCAACTTCAACAGTCCGATCTCACGTTCGACTTCTGAGCGAGAGGGTGGATCCAAAGGGACAGCCCACGGAGTGGGGCGATCAGTGACCGGCGAATCGAA